GTCGTGTATCGCGGGCGGTTGGAGGCTGCGAAAGCAGTCGGGGTGTTGATTGCTACTTGGCCGGCCGAGGTAAGTCTTCTAGAAAGTAACTATCTAATCGGATGCTAATGGGATGTGGGGCGTAGATGCAAAGACACACTTTTGGCGACCTCTTACTCCACTTTATCCAATCCACAAGCGCGTACCAGCGATTCATCGCCTCGACGATCGTCCAAGAATGGGCACTCGCCCAAAGTACACCGACACTTACCCAAGCCTCGCCTCTCGCATCCGAATGCTCTACTCACCTCCTCACCTTTCTCGAGCAAGACTGCCCATCGTCCTATCACGAAATGGGCGCCCACCTCCGCTCGCTCGCACTCGACTGTCGAGCCCTCCTCCAATCATTCGCCGATGACGCACGTGTACCCGCGTCCAAGCTTCCTACACTTCCCGACCGAATTGACCCAGAGGGTAAACAGGACGACGCGTTTACGTTTGCGTTTGCTCAGAAGTTTGTCGGTGAGACGTTTGATTCGCTCAAAGCTAGCATTCCGCGCGGACGGAAGAAAGAGCTGGGTGGGCTGGAGGAGAAGCGTGGGCGGATTGGGTTTGGGTTGGATAGGTATGGAGTTGTGAAAGGGCAGCTGGATGTGAGGGTGTGTGCGGCGGTTGCGGCGGCATTGATCGCGTTGAAGGTGTATCCGTCCAAGCTAAATCCGCTTGTGAGGAGTATCATGAATGGTGTCAAGGTGGGTTCAATAGTTACAGTTTCGAGTGGATGCTGAGTAGGAGTTAGTTCGAAGACAACTTGGACATTCAAACGAGATCCGCAAACGCCGTCGCAGTATTTGTCTCAGACTGCACAACCCCCTCATCCGGCCTCGCCGTCATGCCCGCTGAGCAAATCGTGAAAAACCTCTGCGCGTTCGTCTGCCAAGATACCGAGGTCACACCCGTCTTTACCCAATCTCGCCGCGTGCATGCCGGAGTGCTCACCTGCAAACTCATGGCGGCTAAATCGTCTACATCGAGCAAGGCAAAGGACGACGCGGCAGAAGCACCTGAGGCGGCCAAGGCGCGGATCGTCAAGCGCGGAGCGCAGCTTGCATTGATGAGGCTTGGGGGGCTGTTTGGGCCTGAGCTGTTTACGCGATTAAAGCAGATGTGGGATTCAATGGTCGGTGGGTTGACGGATGCGTTTGGTGAAGGTGAGTTTCTGGTCGTTTCCGGTGGGACTTTGTATGCTAAAGGAGTGTAAGGTGTCGATGGGGACAAGAAGATTGAGAAAGCGGATGCGGTGGGACAACAAGTGATCGATAGTCTCACTGTCTTGCACGTTGTCGTCCCGAGTCTTGATGAGTCGCTACACGACCGGGTCGTCGAGCTCTTTCCTTCAATTGCGCGGGCGCTCCGAAGTAAATATGCACTCGTACGACAGGCAGCGAGTCGATCCCTCGCTACGCTCTGCAATACGATTACTATCAAGGGTATGCGGTTCGTGGTCGAGGAAGTGTTGCCGTTCTTGGGTGATACGACCGTGTTGGAGAATCGGCAGGGCACGATGGAACTTATTTATCGTGAGTGGTGTTTAACGGTGGGTGATATTGGTACTAATTGGAGATGGTAGATATTGTGCAAAAGCTAGACTTGAAGGTGCTACCCTACGTGATCTTCATGATCGTACCTGTGCTTGGACGGATGAGCGATAATGACAACGACTGTCGATATGTTGCGACCAACACATTTGCCTCGCTTGTAAGGATGGTACCTCTCGAGGTAGGGCTATCTAGCTACTCAGCATCTCCCTTGAAGCTTACCACTTGACTCTATAGTCTGGCTTGCCCGATCCACCTGGGTTCTCGGAAGAGCTACTAGCAAAACGCGAATCGGAACGCGAATTTTTGACACAGCTTCTGGATGGCAGCAAGGTCACACCATACGAAATTCCAGTCAAGGTAAATGTGGAGTTGCGTAAATACCAGCAAGAGGGCGTGAACTGGTTGGCCTTTTTGGCCAAGTACCAGCTTCATGGCATCCTATGTGATGGTGAGTGTCATGTATATTTTATTTTTGCGTTTCGATTGAATCCTTTGGAGATATGGGTCTGGGCAAGACACTACAATCGATCTGTATCCTCGCAAGTAAACATCACGAGCGTGCAGAGCGGTACAAGGCAACCAAGTCCCCAGACTCGGTCCACATCCCGTCCTTGATCATCTGTCCGACAACGCTTACCGGACACTGGCACGCCGAAATCACCAAATACACCAACAACCTCAAAGCTCTGCGCTACGTCGGTACCAGCCGCGATCGACAACGCCTTGTCGACCAGATTCAGCACCAAGACGTCGTAATCGCGTCGTACGACTCGGTGCGAAATGATATCGCGAATTTGTCTCAATTTAATTGGCATTATTGTATCTTGGACGAGGGTCACCAAATCAAAAACGGCAAGACAAAGATCACTCAGGCGGTCAAGATGATCAACGCGCATCATAGGCTGCTGCTCTCCGGGACGCCGATTCAGAATAATGTACTGGAACTCTGGAGCTTGTTTGATTTCCTTATGCCTGGGTTCCTTGGAACAGAGCAGCAGTTTAACGAGCGATTTGGGAAGCCAATCCTGGCGAATAAAGACGCAAAAGCGTCGGCCAAGACTCGTGAAGCAGGTTAGTTTTAAAGCCATCCCGAAATTCGTAGACTGACTGTTCTGTAGCAACTCTGGCTCTCGAGGCACTGCACAAACAAGTCCTGCCCTTTTTGCTACGTCGACTCAAAGAACAGGTGCTCAATGACCTGCCGCCAAAGATCATCCAAGACCACTATTGCGAACTATCCGACATGCAGAAGCACCTTTACGATGCTTTTGCACAGTCTCAAGCGGGAGACACTGTTCAAGGCGCGGTCACATCCAAATCAGCGAATCCAAATCAACAACACGTATTTCAATCGCTGCAGTATTTGCGAAAACTTTGCAATCACCCTGCGCTCATTGTTAAAGATGCGAAAGAAGAGGCCGATTTGGTGGAGCGATTCTCGAGTTCATCCAAGGGTGAAGGTGCTTCGACGAGCATACGTGATGTACGACATGCACCAAAATTGCTTGCATTAAGGTAAGTCCCGTTTCTAGTATGGTAATAACTGGTTGAGTAACATACCTCTCTAGGCAATTACTAAATGATTGTGGCATCGGAAATGCAGCTAGTGAAGATGGCGATGCCTTAAAGTCGACGGAAGATACGGACATCTCGTCACAGCACCGAGTGCTCATCTTCTGTCAGATGCGCCAAATGCTAGATATCATCGAGGAAGACCTTTTCCGTGTGCTCATGCCATCGGTCACGTATATGCGACTCGATGGGTCGACTCCCGCTAGCCAACGTCACGGGGTAGTGCAGACATTCAACTCGGACCCAAGTATCGATTGCCTACTCCTAACTACGAGCGTGGGTGGTCTCGGTTTAACGCTGACTGGCGCCGACACTGTCATATTTGTGGAGCATGATTGGAACCCGATGAAAGACCTACAGGCTATGGATCGTGCGCACCGTCTAGGTCAGAAGAAGGTCGTCAATGTATACAGGCTAATCACCAAAGGCACTTTGGAGGAGAAGATCATGGGGTGGGTTCAACTTTTCAAGCATGCCCGGACACTACTGACCCGGTATTCAGGTTACAACGCTTCAAACTGAATATTGCCAACTCGGTCATCACGCAACAGAACTCGGGGCTTGCCTCGATGGACACAGACCAAGTGCTGGACTTGTTCAAACGTACTACCGAGGAAGAAGATGCGGCAGCAAAGAAGAAACGAGAGGAGAAAAAAGCTGCCGGAGGGCCGGTCTCGCAGAAGCACGTGCTCGAGGGGCTGGAGGATTTGCCACGCGAGGACGAGTATTCCGGGTTGGGTCTAGATAACTTTATGGACTCTATTAAGCAGCGTTAATTTGTATATATGTATTCGCTTTTGGCTTTGCTATCCATTCGAATTTTTCGTTCGTTTAGAGCAAAGCGATGTTATTCAAAGTACATGCTTACTCCTCGGCGGGAGCAACGGGGGCAGGTGGGTTCCTGAGGAGTGATTCTCCTTTGCGCTTGGCTTTCCATTCGATTTTCCTCTATGATGTCGACATTCATAAACCAGACGATTGCTCAGTATGAAGTTTACTCACATCGAGCGTGAGAGCTATCAATCCCATAGATAGTGGTACAACTCCAAGCCAGATGGCCACTTTACGAGCGGCGTAAGGAGTCATACGAAACCCTTGCCAGAGATTGTCTCTCTATCAAAGTAGCGCAGGTTAGGGAATTTGTAACGAAATATAGATTGGCCTCGCGTACCATGGCCCCCCACCGCTCAATGGCAGGGTCAATCTGTGATGCTCGTAAGGACTCGAGAGTGAACCAAACAGTCCCGGACTAACTTTAATAGTTCCTGCAAAGTTTTGGTTCAGACAGTTTTGTACCAAGCACTCCGCCCTAACTTACCATGATCTCCAGCCATAATGATCTTCGAAATGCTGCTAGCGGACGATCAAGTCTGTGAAGAGGAGACGTTATATCACGTGTCCCACTGGCTGAGTAACTTGTCATTGTTTGCCTCTAGCCTCTCTGTATATATATGCGTACAAGAGTGGCGAGAGAAAATACGAGCTGGAAGTGGCAAGTTTATGGAAAGTAGCACCAGGTAAGAAATTATTACCTTGAGGCTCGAACCAAGTGACACTAAAAGTGACCACTCAGAGTTTCGAACTCCGGACCTTGTGCGTACGTAATCATGCTATAAGCATTGATCAGCAGTGTGAAGCACACGTGATAACCAACTACACCAAGCGGCCTTTGTAGACCATTCACGTTAACACAAGAATATCATGCATTGAGGGTTCTCCTATGTCAACACCAGCCGGTCATCAAAACCCTTTTCGTTCCTTCGTCTCGCTGATCCCCACACCACGCGAATTACTATGGCTGCTAATGTCTTGGACTGCATCACGCTCTTAGGCGACTCCTTGACCCAGAGCGGGTGGGAGCCTGGTACGCGGTTCGTCTAAATTGCACTCTGACTCTGATCTCATTGTGCGGCTAGACGGGTTCGTTCAACGCCTCGCATACGTGTATTGTCGTAAACTCGATGTTATTAACCGCGGTCTCTCCGGCTATAATACCGAATGGGCTATCCCCGTATTCGAAGAGGCAAGTGATACACCCTGAAACTATATTCATTAATTAATTTGTGTCTCCGGCTTGATCTAGCTATTTGCCAAAACTGAACTGCAAGATGCGCTACCCAAGGTGAAACTATTAGTAGTTTGGTTTGGTACGATCCTAGACAACAAACCGCTATCCTACCTCATAATAGTTTATAGGCGCCAACGACGCGGTTCTGAAACACAGTCCACAGCATGTGCGCCCTTAGTGTATCTAAACTAATACTCTACTTAGACACACTAATAGGTCCCGTTACCAAAATTCATCGAGAATATCAACACTATAGTCGACATGCCAACTTCACCAACCTCTCCCTGGTACTCCCCAACCACTCGCGTTTTACTAGTAACAACACCTCCAATCAACGTCACACAGCGGAACGCTGAACTAGCCTCTCGCAATCCGCCTATTGGTCCTGATCGTACCCACGAGAATACCAAGGCCTACGCAGAGGCGGTAGTGGACGTCGGAAAGAAACGCGGGGTACCTGTCGTAGACTTATGGACTGCCATCTGGAAGGCAGCTGGAGAAACAGAAAAAGGACTGGAGGAATTCCTTCCGGACGGATTGCACTGTAATCCAGCTTCGTACAAGGCACGTAGTCGGTGTACCTACCTTACAATGAGGCATCTGACCTGTCGCAGATCCTATACGAACTTATTATGGAAAAGATATCTAAACACTATCCAGAGCTCCACTACGAGAAACTTCCATATGTTTATTGCAGGTACGTTCATAAACTCATCCCCAATAACACAAATCAAATATCTCTTCGGTAGATGGGACCAAGTAGACTGGAAGAATCCAAGGCCGAGTTTGAAATCGCATCGAGTAGATGTCTAGTAGTTTTTCGCGATCCAAAAAGACACGATAGCCCATCCAGTATTGAAACAGTTAATATATACAAATACAAATAACCTCACGTTAGGAGATTAAACAATAACCGAAAGTCTACCACGATTGACCGATCCATACATTTTAAAGCATCGAGCTAATGGTTATCTGCATTAGGGTCGCCCCATCGTACCTCGACGCCCAACCCACCCTGCCAGTCTTGAACTCGTTTCCGAGCTATATGTGACATGGTGCTCTGTTCGGTACCAACGAACCCGGCTCCCATCGACTGAAACATGGCGTCTAGAATGACGGGAAACCTACCGAGTAGAACCGATGTAAGTGATATGGCGCATATAGCTCGCAATTTGATGCGCACCATTTACTGTGTTTCTGTACCGTCTGTTCAGAATCATGATCTATCCAGCCCCATTCAGGACCGAGTGCGGCGACTTGATCCCACCACTTAGGATCACGCTCATCCGAAGTAACTAGTACCTTAGTGACGTTAACTTCGTTCGGTTGGGCCAGTAGGCCTTGCTTTATTTCGTTGACCCGTCGTTCGTATGCTTTGACAGGCGCGAAGCACTTTTCTCGATCCTTTTCTGTATAGCAGCCTCCCTCAAAATCTGTTCGGCGTACGTGCACCGAAATAAACTACGTCAAACTGTTTATTAGCTTAACGTTCTTCAGGAGTGGCTCATACTCAACTGGAGGTATTGGGCTGGTCTCTGTCACCTTGAAATGACGACGAAGATATTGATTAGCAAGTTCCAACAAAGACGGCCTCCAGTGTAAATGTGTCCCAACAAGACTCCAAAACGGAGAATAGTCTGCAAAAAACTGAAAGGTCTCAAGTCGGTCAATGCACAGAGACTAGTAACGCATTTGACCTACATCCATCGCCGGTGCCGTTTCCATCACGCCTGTATAGTAAAGCAGATCAAAGCACAACAGCTGATCGTCGGGCTCTATCTTCTTGCCCGAGCCACTGAGGGCTGGAAGTATATGAGGGCGCTGCCAGTCAAGTTGTCGTTGACGCGATTCAGGAAAGCTGAGGGAAGCCAGAGCCCATATTGACCATACGTAGTCCCTTTGCTCAGCTCCATGGCTAAGTGTAAAGGTTGATGGAACCGGTGTATAAGATACGTCTAAAAGAATACTAGTATAATGCGATTGCATTGTGGCGATAGGATTGCACGTACCAAGATTTAGTACCTCGGGAACCAAAGATATCGCGGGACGGCCGCCAGAGGCCTTGTTACCAGCGCCAGTACTCCAGCAACCGATCTCTTCAGTTTTAGGCGCCATTCCACTATTGTTCGAATATGTAATCGACTTGACCTCGCGCCATTCGAGCACAGGGGAGCCCAATTTAGCTGACAGACGAGGAATGTCAAAGACATCTCCAAAGTTCATTGGAGCGACAGTATCTAGCTTGCCAAAGTGGGAGGGTAAAAGCGGAGGAATGATGGGAGTGCGGCCAGCAAGAGTAGCCAGGTATATCAAGTTGACGGCCTCCATTACTTGGTTCGTGAACCCGGCGGTGGTGAAAGCGGTAACGTATTTATGAGTTGGCAATAGATTTTCTATGGGCTCAAGTTGGCTTGCTACACGACAAATGTATGCTTAGCTAAAACTCACCTCGAAATGAGAGTGTCGCATTGCTGCCTAGTAATACGCTAGAGCTGCTTAGAGATTTCGTTGGAACCTTTTCGTCCACAGACATCCCAATGAGCTCCTGAACGCGCCCCGACAGGAAATACCACGTTGCCACACAGATTATACACAAAAGCAGAACTCCTGTCAAGATTTTTGAGAACCAATGCATTTTCCTACTTTTTCGGGGGAGAAACTCCTCTTCATCTTGGTCGAATGGTAGGAGCGCGTCAGTCGGTTTTGACAAGTCATAGTGTTCAGACATCGCGGCCAGTATTATGCAGAGTTAGGAAGGATACAAGTTGATGTTATGGGGTTGACACGTATAAAAAAAGATCGATAGTGCGTTTGATATCCAAGAACATAAAACATCCACCGAGGACTAAAAATGGGACCAGTATTCCATCAAGGTTCCATAAGGGACGAATCCAGGTACAGAGGCTAGTATTGCAAATTATACCAGGCACCGGCAGCAGACTCAACCTCTTTAGAACCTCCTGTGATTTCTTGGCGTTCAAAAACATGAAGCGAATCCAAAATAATTTTCTGTATTCGGACTGTGACATTCCCAGAACCAGGCCACCAGCATAGCGCGGCCCGCGGTAGAGACGCAATTTGGAGTATATTTGATAGCATATAGGCGGGGTACACATGAAATAGGGACTCGAGATATACATTGTAAGAGTGATTAATAGAGAGCCACAGATAACAAGATTCAGATAAAACTTAGATAATCTTGACCAAAGAAAAATGCCTGTCCCACACGTATAACATATCCTAAAAGGTCCCAAACATCCCAAGTGTGATATAAAAAGTTCAGGCCGTTAATGGTCGTCAGCGTTGGGAGTACCCCAGCGCACTTCCGCGCCGAGTCCCCCATT